TAAAAAAGTCCCTCCTCATCATTCCCCGGAAAAATAAATGTAAATATGCATTTCGTCATAAAAACTTAACGGAGGTTTTTGCATACATTACATTTAGTTAAAATGGCTTTAGAGGGTCACCAAACGGCTTTAAAAATACAAGAAATACAATTGTTTTACCCCGGACCCCCTTCCTTTCTTGGAAACCCCACAACTCCCCTCATCCTCCTCCCAACGGTCAGTCTAGACCTACACCCTGAACCCGCAGCCGCGCCGTGAAAATTAGTGTTCTTGTATGGCCATACTATTTATTTTAAATATGTTTGTGTGTGTCTCGTGTATTTGTTTTCAAGACTTTATGATGACCTCCTAGGAGTGACAACACGTCTTTAAGGCTTGACAATGACACCATGAGTGTCGAAAACGGTCGCCATCCAGACGATAGTTGGTTACATTAGCAACAATAAGGTATTTAACCTCTAGAATAATATTGTTATGTAATCAGGAAGGCAACACCTCAAAAATGAAAATATCATTAGCTTTAAGATATTATGATGTAGTTTGTTTTAAGGAATACACAATGAACTCTAGTAGTCTGATTTGTACACGGCAGTATCACTAGTATTGTAGTTGTTTGAGTATTAAGTACGTACTATTTAGCCTGGCTGCGTAGTTGCCGAGGTCTACCAGCTGCTCGTAGAGGTCTCTCAGTTTCATACCAGATCTACGGTTCCACTCGACCCATGTATGCTGCAGCTCATCCCAGTCGTGAGATGTCGCCATGATAGCCTGTAGATCTACATATCACACTGACATCAGTATATGTAGAGACAGGGCTACTGAAATCTACGTGCGTATGGCTGATGAGCCATTGACTACGAGACTCAAGAAACCTACCCTCCGCACCCAACAATAGGATGCATGAATAGCTCTGAGTCCGTTTGACATTGACTAGATCTAGATTCAATGGTTCAACTCATAAAGAACTATGACACTATTATTGTTCTTTTACAAACTACCCGATAATTTAGCATGCATAAAATATCGACATAAAATCATATAAACCTTTCTACTTTTTAGCGACCTTTAAAAATATGAATTATATTTTGGCACTTCCTTACAGTAACGTGAACTCAACCGCCTTGAACATAATTTAATAATAACAATTACAAATTTAAAACCAACCAGCATCAATTGGTAAATTAGAATAAGATTCATTTTATATAAAATTTTGCAGCATGGATGTATTTTTTTAAAATTTATGTTAAATGATGATAATGGATCAGAAAGGTATAGGGTATATGTTGGAAAGTGATGGATTTTATTTCACACATCAGAATTATAGCGGAGCAAGTGAGACAATGATTCAAGATATTTTTCACAGCTGATGATGTTATATTCAACAAAAGAACAGTTTAAAAATTAACTAACCTGGTTCCAAGCGCAGCCCACAACGCAGAGGTTCGTTATAAGCGCAGATTGTAGCACTGTTGTAGATCTCCAGCATGTCATTGATAACTCGATTATACTGCATAAACGAAAATCTACTGTCACTTCAAGGAACAAATATTTTTAGATAAAAATACAAAAAAAAAATTGGTTTTTCATGTAAACGCGATTTTTCCAAATGTATCATTGGCATATTTTATGATGAATATATTAATCTAATTTCGATTGAGAAAGTGTTACCCTTTGCCTCGTTGATTGAATGTAAGACGATATAACTACCATCTACTGAAATTAGTTTATCCACATATTTAAAACAGATATAAAACATAATATTTAACACGTTAGTTTATAGCTGTAAGGACGTTGTTAGTCAAACGACTTACAACTATATGGATATGACGTTTTCAGAAATAAAAATTAAAAGTGAAAGAGTATACAAATAACCATTTAAAAGTTTCCCGACAAGTTTTTTGCTGCTATGTGTAATTTCCACTTGCGCTTATCTTGGAAACTCCCAGTTCAGTGCGCATGTTGTTGCAAAAAACATAGATCGCATTCTGTTTGGAAAGATTATTCAATCTAAAAATAGTGAAAAATGTCTTTATCATTGCAAGTGTTATCTTAGTATTAACACGTTGATTTTAACATACAACTGTTGTCAATTATTATTTGCCAATCGGTTGGATGAGTCTACATTTTAGGTTGGCTAGTACAACAGAATACAGAAAACAACGGCCTCTGTCCTTATTCTGTGGTGTTATTCGACTTAGAAGAAGATTGAGCTCAACCATCATTGCACACCAGTTTGTGAGCCGTCTAAAATCTGCTCACTAAATAATTATGCTTTTAAAATCCCAAGGTTTCACCCCCCTATAAATACACCTTGTGTTATATGGAAACTATCATGCATCATTTCATGAGTTATTAAACATAGGTAGTTAAAAATAATTATTTTTAAAAATACCTTCCCTCATAATCTAGCCTTGAACCGTTTTACTAATTAATCCAGCCTAGACCTATGGTCGTGGCATTATCACAGCTGAAATCTATTGGTGTAAGTGGGGGGTTTGAACCCGGGACCTTATGGATCAAAGCCTCATGCTCTACCACAAGACCAGCTCGCCTTCCTGTACTCTAAGGCTATGACATGCCTCACGACGTTTTAAATCTCAGGTCAACTTGGTTAGTTGTCCAAAAGTGTTGGTCTTGGTGCCGTTGTTGGAGTACAGAAGTAACTCTAGCAGACTCACCCTGTCCAGCTGGTCCGGAGGTAGAGCTGCAGGCCCGATCACCGAGAGATGCCTGAGCTGTCTCCAGAGCCTGGGGTCTCCTACTCGATCCTTCTCTATCTTGGATACCAGGGTGCGAACTCTAGCCTGGAACTCTGCATAAGCCAGTTGTGCCCTCAGCTGAAACATGCAAAATGGCTCATTGTATCATAGACAAATATGTTAGGTAACATGGAATTAATTAGTAGTATTGTTACAAAACCTTTTTAGGAATTTAGTTAGATTGTTTATAAGTCTAATGATTGATTAAGCAGGAGTTAAATTTATGTCCATAGGAGTGTCAGCCACGACCGGGATTTCTACACCTCTTTGCTTGCTTCCCTTGAACTGCAGATATCTGATAAAAGGTAACATTCTGTCTATGAGCTCTGCCTGGTGTAGTATTCCGCCTTTCAGCTCTGTGCAGACAAATAGCAGATGGTCTGCAGTATACTCAAACTTTTCACACTTCCTACTTGATATATCCCTACCTTATGTCTAGCCACAGATTGTTTGAGGTAACCATCTGGAACGGGAAGGATATAGTGAACTTGCGTACCCCGGATGTAAAACTGAGGCTGCGTTGCCAGTTCGACAGCCACCTTACGCTCGAGATTAACAATGATTTTATAGAATAGAGGCACTGGAACAAGCACAGTGGTTTGAACTTGAAATAAACACATTGGTAAATTAATCATGCTCTCTATCGGCCAGTCGAGTTGTTGTCACTGAAGTTAGTAGTATACGCTGTCGCTGTATAGCACTTAATGATTTTACACCGGTATATTATAGTAGTTTACTCAACGATTGCGTTAAGTTAGTCTTTACGACACGAGTAGAAAATTTAAGGCACTCGCAAAGACTCGTGCCTTAAAAACTTCTACGAGTGTCGTAAAGACTATTAACGCGAGTTGCGTACACTACTTTACCTACGACAGTTTTTTTTTAATTACTAACAATCTGGTTTTTAATTACTAACAATCACTACTCATAACTTCTTAGAGAAGGTATGTTTTCGTTTATTGTCATTGCTAATGAAAGTGATGCAACGACTTATTGTATAATCAGCTGATTTCATGTAATTACGTGTTTGTAAAACTTCGTTAAATAATGCGCTACTTTTTGAGGGAATATGTTTTGCTAGCAGCATTCTTACCATAAATATTGTATCAGGTACAATTAGAGAAATATTGCATATTTTTTTGGACAACTGAATAATATAGCGAAACAGTTAACTTACAGTTAGATTTCAGCATCAAATATATGGTCTACAACAAGTTGGGTGAAAAAGTGGTTAAGAGGTTTTCAAAATAATCCAGAAGCACATTTTCATTAATCAATTTAACCTTATTTTGTTTCGTCCATTTAATAAATTGCTGGTATGTAATTTCATACCTTTGTTTCGATTTTGGTGGCAAAAGATTAGCACAAACAGTTTGTGCTCTCATTTCCATCTCGTCAACTTCACTTAAAAATAATGTTTAATATACCTTCCTTTAACTTCTACCAACTTATTAGGTTAAGAATACGCGAGTATGAACAGGAACAAGTCGGATCAACAATTAAAATTGTCAACTGATCAGCTGATCAGCTGATTAGTTGACGTTCGAATCATTACAATGTTACTTCTTTTCTCTCAGTCCTTGAACCTCATTGGTCGGTTACCCGTGTTGTTATGAGAAAAACTATGCTGTTTAGTTATGAAATGAAACTATGCTGTTATGAAAGTAAACAGCTGTTAAGTGAAACTTTTCAATTCTAAGAACTGAACCTATACTAATGCATGTAATTGGCTAATGCATGTATATGTTGATCTGTCCTAATAAATGACTTATTGACTTATTGAACTGAAATGGCTACTTTAAAAAACGGTCGTAGGTAAAGGTATTATATTTGTACATGTAATGTTATTAATATATAATATATTATTTTATAAAATGTTTTTTTATAAAATTATTAACATATAGTATTATTGATATTTAATATTATCCATGTAAATTACTATATACTATTAAGGTGAATAAAAATGCTCAAAAATTCAAAGTCCAATGTATCTTTACCCTAACAGGGACATGGGGAAACTGATCTGGGGTATCGCTTTTTTACCACATGACGAGTCCGATGGGTCGTATTTTACTTACAAGTTAGCGGAATAGCGGTATACATCTCAACTATTTTTTTTCAATCTTGCATACAAGTATAGTGTGTTGTATTGTTCAATCGTGTATAGTGTATAGTGATTGCAATTATCAGTAAAATATATTCATGATTAGCAGAGTAAGATTCTGAAGGTAATTGTTTCTGTATCGAAGAAATCCCTCAAATTTTTAAATATTTAATTATTTCACATTCCAGGACACCAGGCTCTAGCCCGGGGCCGTTGTACAGTAAACATTTCTTCAGGCTAAGCCTAGAGAAGTTATTATCACATAGTCAAGAGGCATTGATGATTGATTGTTGGAATTTGAACCCAGGATCTTGAAGACCAAAACACTGTGCTGCACATCTAGACACTAGACCAGCTTATTCCTCTCCACAAAGAAAGACATCTACAAGAAACAAGTCATCAGTAAAAGCACATACAAGTATGTATTCCCTTGTCTGTGGTAAAAGACATGCATACTATTGATTTATTTAAAGTCGTCAAAGACAGATCATTTAGCCTACAATTTAATTGAGAGCATAATACTTAAACAAATTACTCGGTAGGTTGAGAAACGATATATTTCAGTGAACTGACAATCCAATAAAACAGCGTAATGCACGAGTAGCTAGTAAAACCAATGATTACCGATTACCCCACTATAGAATATTCATGATTACAAAATGTTGGAGACCGTTTTATAGCTAGAATATTGGCTGATTTCCAACTTGACTTACACGCTTTGCATTTGTATTTACAATCATGTTTCTATTGTAGGTATGCATTACATTTTGTGAAAGCATTTCGCATTGTATGAAACGTCTCAACGGACACCCAACATCGTTTTATTCATGGATACAATATATTATGAGCTTGATCAATGCTTAATAATGACCTTAAGCTTTCTTATCTGGGCTTGATGTAGAATATAGCTAGGGCTTATGTTCTGCGAAAAATTGAGGTATTTTTTAAAACTTCCTGGATAACCATGTGCGGTTTTTGAACAAATTCGCCCAATTCGATGATTTTCAAATTGTTTGATGTTTAGATTATGATACCTATACAATAATATTTTGAAATTGTTAAGACCATAACATTGAAAAATGTAAACAATGATATTTTAGGTTATGAGATTGAAGGTATGAAAAAAAAATTCAAATAGTTTACAGTAGTGTAAGTTTACAGGGTGTTTTTTAAACGCAAACCAAATAATTAACACAACCGTGAGAGACACTTTTATACGAAAAACTAGCTTCGTATCCTTATTTTCTTTACTTCATTGCTGATCAGATAATATGCATTGTTGCATAGATATTTTTGAAGTTTAGTGCTATTTAGAATTTATTGTGAATAAGACTCAACGTGGTATTTCTGCAATCTCAAATAGAAAATTTATTGTAGATCTAAGTTTTTTATTTGATTTTTTTCCCTACAATTCCGGTATTCTTTATATTTTTGACAATTCTAGAAACATATGACTTTTAAACTGTGATCCCACCTTGAATCTTAATTAAAAACCTTTCTTGGCAAAATAAACATTCTTTTTTACCTTTAATGTTCCATACTCTTTGAGTTTGCAGAAGCACCAAGCAAGCTGAGACTTATTCACTATAAATTACCAATAATACCTAAACTCATGTATAACTTTGCAACAATGTTTAACAGCTGATTGGCAATGACGTAAAGAAAACAGGGATACCAACATATCAGCTTAAAATGTGTCTAACGGCATTTATAATTTGAGTTGCGCTAAAAAACACTCTGTACAACATACACAAATCATCTATTTAGGAAGTTTAAAAGGAGAAAATGGGAGAAACAAATTCACTCTTGAAGAATGTCATAATATTTTATGTTATTTGCAATAAAATTGCCCAAAATTGTACGTAATTACTTTAAATATCTTTATCTTATACGAGAGCTACAGTATTGGTAATATGAATCCCATTAGCCAGTGGAAAAACCTTATTTCTTAACAATAATGTATTGTTTTATATACATTTAACGAAAAAAAAACGCCCCTTGAGTGGTACAAACGTGAAATGCCAAAATATAGTAAACAAACTCGTAACGTACCAATTAAAGTCACGTTTCTTAATGACAAATTCCTTGAGATAAAGGCAAAGCGAGAGCTTTTACGCCTAAATCATGTTCTTTACCCCGATTTTCCAAAGGCTGTCGCAATCCTTACAATGAGTCGGATCAAAGAAAGTGCTTCTGCAAGTTGCAGACATTACCTCATACAGCACTTTCCTGGGTACAACTGGTATCAGATCAAGTACATCCCAAGTCCATTTGTAACTCTCTACCTTTGTAAATCATCGGAGATGACTACAACTGCAACTGAGTCATGTTCGCCACTGTTCACCACTGTTCACTACTATTCACCGCGTTTTTCACCTAAAATAAAAAGCGATAAATAACCCAAGAACCCACATAAACACAACCCAAGAACTTACAAGGATTAATCAGAGTACAAAGGTCAACACAAGTTCAATTATTTTGTTATTGCATACGCCAGAGGCACTTTTTAGGAAAGAAATCGATGCAAGCGCCTCAATATGTTGCTAATAGTATACCGGGATTGAACCCGTTCCTCTCAAAGAACCCCTGGAGTTCAGGAGGATAACTGCGAGGGTTAGAAACAAGTCCAAACATAACTTTAATAGTAACTATGGAAGCTATGAGACTATTCTATGCTAATAACGAATACATTATTGCCAAATAAAAGAATAAAACACTTTTTCAGAATTTTTATTTTCTTATACATATCTTTTTCTATTTAAAATTTGAGATTAGATAAAATTCGGGTCAAGTTTAAAAACTCATAAATCAAAAGAGAGGATAATAAGGATGGTTGTGCCGAAATTAAAGTTAGTTTTGAAATTGAGTAAATGTTCTTGGGCTTTACAAAAACTGTAAACAAGTAAAATCAAAATCCTATTAAAAATAATATACAAAAATGCTCTGAAAGAGTATGAGTAAAGAGTAGGGTTTT